GTGCGGGCAGGCAAGGACCCCTGAGTCCGATTCTACCCCGCCCCCAGGCATTGCAGCTGGGGCTCAGAAGGGCTCTGCAGGCGGCTGCCCGGCCACCTGGCTCCTTAGAGCAAATTAAGAAAAGGTGCCTCTTTCTAAAGACAGTTTACTTCCATTAGTCAGAAGTTTGTCGTAATATATGGATCTGTGACAACAAGATACCATACAGCCATCTACTGTGACCCAAATACCCTCATCTGCCGAGTCCACAGTGAGATGGTGCCATTAGGGGCGCAGCCCTCCGTGCAGGGCGCAGCCCGCACCGCTGTGCACGGTGCCCTGGGCCTCGACCTCAGTTCCTGCTGGCGCCTTGCTGAGGCTCCGCGTGTGCGCTCATGAGAAACGGACTTCCCGGTGAGCTCCCGGCAAGTTCCTGTCACTGAACAGGTGTGAGAAGACCTGGGCATCGAGGCTTCGAGTGTCAGGATGTCAGAGGCAGATTGTCTGCTTAAATTCAAGCCAGCACAGTTTTTCCTTGGCCAGCGATTCACATACAGAGCCGGTTTAAAGGTTATCTGAGGTGAACGTGTCCTGGAGGGTGGGACAGTCACCCTTAGAGGCGCTGTGTTGTGGAAAGAGAGAAGAAAGGGAGGAGGAGGGGAGGAAGGGCCTGGGCAGGGCTCTGCCCCCACCCCCACCACTCGTTAGTCGGTTTGGTTTATTTCTGATCGGTTGGCAGTGACCTCTTTCCTGTCTAATACTCTGGCCAATCAAGTTTTTAGAGTCTTCATGACAAATGCGATACAAGACAGGCAGTCCTGCTCCCTGGCCAGGCACCACTTCTCCTCTTCCTCCTCCTCCGACTGAGAGTGAGACCAGCAGGCCCCCTTGTCCTGGGCCTGCTGGAAGCCAACGGCTTCCCTTTACTGACAGCACCAGCTTGCTCACTGTCCCCACAGGGGAGTCTGTCCCCCGCCACAGAGTCTGTCCCCCACCATGGAGTCTGTCCCCTGCCACGCTGACTCTCAGGGTCTCCACAGGCAACGACGAGAGCAGCTGCCACCTGGGCCCTCGCTGCCCCGAGCAGTGCACCTGCGTGGAGACAGTGGTGCGGTGCAGCAACAGGGGGCTCCATGCCCTCCCCAAAGGCATCCCCAAGGACGTGACTGAGCTGTAAGTACCCCCTGAGCACCCCGGAATCCCTACCAGCATCATCACTGCCCCCCCGCCGCCATGTCCCACAAAGCTGCCCGAGGCCCCTTCTTACATGGACCCTGCAAGATGGAGCAGAGCCTCCCAGGCAGCTGGCAGCAGCTCAGACAGGGGATAGGAAGCAGCCCACCCCTGCCTCTGCCTGGCCGGTGACATGTGGGAGGGTCAGTGCCCCGTTTTCTGTGTCCCCCCGGATCCCCGCTCTGCACTCCACCTTCTAGCTTCCCCACCAATCTCTCCATCTGACACCAGACACAACACAGGATCATCTCAGGACACTGTCCAGCGGGCGCCGTGGCTCCCCACGCACTGCTGCAAACACCACCCTCTTCACCCGGAAAGCAGCCCATTTCACAGATGACACGTAGCTCTGGGTCTGTTCCCTCTCCGCCCAGGAGCCTCTTACTCCACAGCCCACGCTCCCGGCACTAGCTCCTCAGGGCGGTTTCTGCCCCAGCTTCCCCATTAGATGGAAGAGAAGCCGCTCCCTCCCTGCAGGGCTCTGACTCTTGGGCAGAGAACCTATTTCTGCCCCTCGAAAGCTCAGTCAGCCCCGCAGGCAGGAGGCCTGTCCCAGGAGCAGCGAAGCTGCGGCCAGGCCAGTGTGCTCACTCACACACCACACCACTCTCGATTCCTCCATCCTTCCCCTCCCGCTCAGTGACCGGTGCACGCGTGTCAGGAACGCTGCAAACCCAGGGGAGGCCGTGCGAGCCACCCGGTGTGGCCCCTCTGCTCGTGGGGTGAGGTTTACCAGGGAGGTAGCACATCTGCTCGCTGGTCCCAGAAGCTCCGTGCGAGGACAGCCTGTGCTGCACAAGGGGGACGGGGCTGCTGGGAATCGTAAAGGGGGAGGCTTGACCTCGACGTGAAGGTCAGAGGAGGCTGCTCTGGGGGTGAAGCTGGAGCCCTGGTCTGAAAGGGAGGAGCAGAAAGTGAGAAGGGGAGGGCTGAGTGGCAGAGCGGGAGGGACTGCGGGACACCTGCCCTAGCAGGACACGCACACACCCACCCCCCACACACCACCCCTCAGGCTTGCACTCTCTCGGGCCAGCTTTGCGTGAGCCCTCAGACCTCAACAGAAGGAGACCCAGACACCTCCCGGCTCTCCCACTGCCTCCTGGCTGGGGCCTGAGTGTCCATTGTCTTGGGTGAGTGTTGTGGCTCCTGGCACCTCCTGTCACTCAGGGAGACAGTAACTGGGGCCGCCAAGCCAGGGGAAGGAACAAAGGTCTTGATGGGCACTAGAAAGTCCGAGTCGGCCCCGGGTTTGGGCCAAGGCCCTGCCCTTGGAGATCCGTGTGAGCACATGCCACGTGCAGTGAGCCCCGAGATGTTCCCAGGCAGCTGGGCTGGGGGCTGGGGGGGGGCTGCATAAAGTGACCCCTTTCTGGGCTAATTGAGTGCCGAGTGCTGCAGGTCAAAGAGAAGAACCTGCTGTGAAAACAGGCCCATGGATGCTTTCCCACGGCTCATGAAGCAGAGATTGGAATAACACAGATAATTGGCTGTAATTGTAGAGTAAACTTCGGAGCTTGGGGAGAAGGCCCGGTTGCCTGCCTTGGAACCGATGGCGCTTCCCTGGCCAGATGGTCTGCGAAGCTCACCATGGCGAGCAGCCCTCCCCTCGGTCCCACACCATCTCGGTCTCCGGGAGGGGAGAGGGGGCAGAGGGCAGGAACGTGGATGCCAGAGGGCGCGAGAGCTGCCGGCCCAGGAAGCTGAGGCCCGGAGGCCTCTGGTTCAGGGACGCCGGCCGAGTCCCCAAGTCCAGATTCGCTGTGTCCAACGCCGGCTTCCCAGCTCCCTCGGGCATCCTGGGCCATCTCGGGCAGAGCTGCCAGCTTACAAAACAAAATGCCCATTCACTGAGAAGGAGAAAGGGCAAAGCAGGTGTGGACGTCTGATACAGGCAGAGAAAGCGGGCAGCGGGCAGCCCACGGAGCGGTTTCCCCGAAGCCGGCCATCTGCAGCCCCGCGGCCCCTCTCTGTCTCCCCCACCTTAACGGCTACTTGCCGTGTGGGACCCGAAACCATGTCCATGTGCGTTCGTGCTGTCCCATTAAACCCGCTGCTGCACCCAGCACTCTGAGTGGGACGCCCCCCACGCCTGGTCCTGTGACAGCACGCACTGTGGACTGGGAAACCCTGGCTCACCGAGTTACTGTCCTTCTCCATGCTGACATGCTGCGTCATATAAACCAGAAATGCCACAGCCATGCCCATCACGGCCCACCTCACAGAGAAGTCCTTGAGTAAAGGCACGCAGTCACGCTCCATGTGGCAGTTCCAGGTTTTCTCAAATTTTTAATTTCCACTGGGAAGCTCAAATGTTGTCGTTGCCAACAATTGCTGTCAGCCCTTTTTCTTGGAGTGGTGGGCTCACCCTGTTTGCTCTTAAGAAATTGTCTTCTCAATGCCCATTTGGGAAGACCCTGTTTGCTAGTCATTCTTCTAAGTAAAAACGGTGGTTTACGGGGCTAGGGGCTAGTTTAGCTTGTAACTCAGGTGCCCAGGTGCTTTTCTTCCAATGCACTTCACATGCAGCAAAAATGCCTTAGGCCACACTTCCGCTTGACACAAAGAATATTGAAGAGGTGTGCTCAAGGGCAGAGATTTAATGCAGTTAACAGTTTTTACTCTTCATTGAGGTCATTCTTAAATGAAATTGGCTTTTATTTATACTCTTTGGTACTAGTTGGTGCCACTGCCTTGATTCATGCTGAGGTGCCAGCAGTTTTACTCACACAGCACAAAAGGAAAAACCGTGATTTAATCTAACCGCAAATATTGTTTTAGCTTCCTTCATAGACCCCTGAAGAGTCCAGGGGACCCCAGGGTCCCATGGACAACACTTTGAGAACCACTCAGGCCATCACACACAAGCAGGCAAACAATCCACAGAGACACCTGCTAGAAGTCAGCAGCGAGTTCCCGGTTTAAAAGCAAGCCTCCAGGGTCTTACTGGACGCTGAATGGAAGCAGATGTGGCACAGCCCAGCCCCCAAGGCACCTGACACAAATACTCCTCAGCTTCAGGAAGTTCCATCGCTGCTGGGCCTCGAGCCTTCTCCACGGAGGCCTGCCATTCAGGGAGCATTTACACCTAACGTCTGCTGGCGCCACTTAAGGGGGTGTTTGCTCACACCAGGCCTCTGGTTCTGGAAACGGACCTGCAGGCTAACACCTCCCTGAGGCTGGAGCAGAGGGGCAGACCCCGGGGTGCCGCAGTCCACCCCCGGGGCGTACCCAGGGAGTTTGATGCTGACTTGGGTCTGAGGACCATGCTTTTGGGTTGCTGTCCTACCACTGGTACCCCCAGGAGAGGGGAAGGGCAGGGTGCCATCTGTCCCCAGGCACACCTGTTGGAAGAAAGGGTTTCTATTGGGAACCGAGTGAGGTCAGAGGGCACCATGGGAAGAGGCTGACAGTACAAGCACACACACACACACACACACACACAGCCCTGTAGACCCGGAAGGGATGGGGCTTGGCCAGGAGGACACAGGGCACCTGGAGAGTGCGTGTGGCAAGAGATGACAAGAGTCATTGATTGAAGGACAGGATGGGAGGGACCTGGCCTCGCACTGCGCAGCTCCATGGGGTTAGAGGGTGGGGTCTGGGAGTACCGAGCTGTCTCCTTCTCTCAAACCCAGTGAGGGCGATGGCCATGCATGCAGGAGGAGGGGCGGAGACGTGCAGTGAGTGACAAGCAGACAGGATGCGCCTGGGATGGGGAGGAGTCGGGAAACCCTGCCCCCCCACCCCCCACCCCCCTGGGGCCTTTAGGGAGGCAGGGCAGAGTCCTGTCTGAGGGATTCTCTGCAGCTGCCATGTATAGGGCATTCACTGCTTGCCAGGGCTATGAATGCCAGGTATCTTCTTATGTGACCTCATCTAATCCAACAACCGACAAGGCCGATATTTTTACTCCCGTTTTGCAGATGAGGTAACTGAGGCACAGGAAGGTGGGGTAATTTCTTAAGATCATACTACCAAGAAGCAGCAGGGCTTAGACCTGAGCCCGGGTCTGCCTGACCCCAAGGCTCATCCTTGAGCCACTAGACTCTTCCTCCCCTTTGGCCGAGGCCCAGGTCCCGTGCACTCGGCCCAGGGCCCGACTTGTTGGGGATTTGCGCCAGCCAGCCACGGGTCTCCTTGCAAACGCAGGGAGAAGGCAAACCCGGCACCCCTGCCATGATGCCGTGGGCCCTGGTCAGTGGTTCTGGCTGGGTCCTTCCTGCCGCTGGGTCCAACCTTCTCTAGCAATGCTCGCTGTGCCCCCAGCACTGGCCAGGCTCCCCAGCACTTACAGAGCTACTGCCCATCGCGGACTGCCTCCTTGCCTTTCCCTGGCCAGGGAGAGGCACAGAACCGCCTGCAGCCAGCGGACGGCACTGATCACATCTTCAGAGAGCAGGCCGGCTCTGGCACCACAGCACTTAGGGTCCTGGCATGGGCTCTGAAAAGCCCTGAGCAGATGGCTTCAGTCGAGGACACTTCTCGTGCCATGACTATCTGGGGGGACAGGGGCGGGGCTGAGGGAGCCCCCCTTCACTCCACCAAGTGTTTATTGAGCTTATTGTACCAGATCTGTCCTAGAAGCCGGGAGGACAGCAGCCCTCCTGATCTCAGAAACGTGGACTAGGGGAGAAGGACAATACAAACCCGTGAACTAGGCATTTCCGAGAGGAAGTAGAACAGCACTTCCCAGGAAAATAAAGGGGGAAAGGGGAGAGAATAGGTCTCATGAAGACCACAAGGTGGTAAGACCTTCAGGTCAAGAAGCCGAGGGGCCATGAGATGGAGCGAGTAGAGTGGAAAGGAGGTGGTGTGTGCTGGAGACTTGAAGAGACGTGTGGGCTCTTGTCTGCCGTTATGAGGGCTGGCTCTCCATCCCGGGAGCGCAGGAGCCATGGGAGAAGCTGAGGCAGGAAAGGGACATGATCTGGCTCTCACTTTGGAAATGTTAGTCTGGAAGAACAGAGACTGGACAGCAGGGCTGGTTGTCTGCCTTCCCGTGGTCACGCGCATCGTCGGATGGAGACATGTGTGTGCCTCCGTATAGATGTTATGTTCAGAGTGCATTGCACACCAGTTGCCAGGCTGCTCCGAGAGCTCTCCCCCGAGACTCCAATTTAACCTTCATAATCACTCCAGGGTGCTGACTTTTATAATCCCCACTTTATAGACGAGAAAACACAAGCTCAGAGAGGTAAGCAACTTGCCCAAAGTCACACAGCTATTAGCTAGTGGGGCCAGGATGTGAGCCTCAGCTGCCTGTGCTCTGTTAGCCCAGGCCCCAGTGGAAATGCTGGCCCACAGTGAGGGCCCTGGAAGGCGCCTGCCCTCCCTCTCATTCACCAGCCAGCAGGTCCAGGAGTTTTGTGGGGGCACCTGTTAGCTCCGCAAAGCTCTAACAGGACAGGGAACATTCTTTACAGAGATCTGTGTGGATGTTCATGCGAGGCAGACCTGTCCTCCTGCTGGGGCTGACACAGCATTTTTTTTTTTTTAATTCTCAACCCAGGATATTTTTCCCATTGGTTTTTTGAGAGAGTGGAAGGGAGGGGGAGAGACAGAGAGAGAAACATTGACATGAAAGAGACACATCGATTGGTTGCCTCCCACATGCCCCCAACCAGGGCCAGGAACCTGCAACCTAGGTATGTGCCCTTGACTGGAATCGAACCCAGAACCCTTCAGTCTGCAGGCCAATGCTCTGTCCACTGAGCCAAAACAGCTTGGGCTGACACAGCATTTAAATGCCAATTGCTCTAGCTGGTTAGGCTTAGTGGATAGAGCTTCGACCTGCGGACTGAAGGGTCCCAGGTTCCATTGTGGTTAAGGGCACATGCCCAGGTTGTGGGCTTGATCTCCAGTAGGGGGCGAGCAGAAGGCAGCCGATCAATGATTCTTATCACTGATGTTTCTAGCTCTTTCTCCTCCTCCCTTCCTCTCTGAAATCAATAAAAATATACTTTAAAAAATAAATAGATACATGCAGGTCAACACGGAAGTTAACCCACTGGAAATGCTCCCTGCTATTTCTAGGGCAAATACGAATGCTGCCTTCGGAAAGTGTCCGCAGGGCCCTGGGCTGCAGGCTGCAGGCATCTGTGGAGTCTCCCTACAAAGAGGGCTTTTCCACAACCACATCTGCATTTCGGAAGTGGAACCTTTGATTTCGAGTTTCCTGAGCTGCCGGGCCAGGTAGCCAGGGACATTCTTCTCTTAGAGCCGCCCCCTCGCAGCCCCTGCCCCCTGGGCACACTGGGGTTTTCATCTCACAGAGCACTTTCCCTGCTGCCCAGAGCACACGGGACGCCATGGCAAGCAAAGCAGAATCACTCCGAGGACCTCACCATGGGGTCCGAAGCATCGGGAACCCGCCGTGCCACCCATGGGTGTGGGAGATGATACGGGAAGGGACGCTTGGGCTGCTATCCAAGCATCTCGGGGCGGGGGGCGGGTAACTAGGCGAGGGGCAGCCGAGGGGCTGGACCTGCCCCCCAAGGAGCTGGGGCGTCTGGGGAGGAAGAAGGTCAGTAGAGTCGGAAGCAGAGGTCCAGGGGGCATTGGCTGTAGATGAACTGGAGGGGGGAGACAGGACTGGGTGGCTCACGTCATGGCTCACTCGGCCCAGTTGTCGGGGCAAACACTAGGGAGGGCGCTTCGCAGATCCGGTCAGCATCTAAGTCAGTGGGCTTTCTGAGTAGCAGAGATCGCCCAGCTGGTGTGGAGGTGGAACACATGATCCTAGGAGGCCTTGGGAACAAAAGGCTGGGGGTTCCTGGGGAGTGAGCACCCTGCCTCAACACTCTAACGTACAAACACCACCTGAGTTTCCAGCTTGCCGCCTGCCCCACAGGTCTCACACTACCCCCTCCAAGTGGCCTGAGCAGTTCCTTAGGTAAATATATGCTCTAGACCAGCAGTTCTCAACCTGTGGCTCACGACCCCTTTGGGGGTCGAACAACCCTTTCACAGGGGTCGCCTAAGACCATCGGAAAACACATATATAATTACATATTGTTTTGTGATTAATCACTATGCTTTAATTATGTTCAATTTGTAACAATGAAATTGAGGGTCACCACAACATGAGGAACTGTATTAAAGGGTCGCAGCATTAGGAAGGTTGAGAACCGCTGGTCTAGACAGATAGACCGACAGACGGACAGCCCTTCTCTAACTAGCAGTGGAATCCAGGGAAGGACTGTAAGCAGGAAGAGAGGCTGATCCCATCAGCACCAGCACCGGTCTGAGCCCGGCTGGAATTCAGGGGCACCGGCACCAGCACGGTGGGCCCAGAGGCTCCGGAAGTGTGTGTCCTGGTGCCCATTCTCCAGGGCCCTACACTCCCCTCCCCTCCCACCTCAGGTGAGGATGCTGACGAGAGGCCATACAGGACAGTGGTACGAGTGCAATAAGCCACTTACATGCTGTGTGGCCTTGGGCAAGTGTTTTAACATCTCTGCGCTTCTGTTTCCTCAACTGTGAACCCCTGCCGTGTAGGGTGTGGTGAGGGCTGGGTACACGATGGGTGTTTATCAGCACCTGCTGTGTGTCGCTCTGTACACAGCCTTGGGGAGCCTCTGCACCAGCAATCTTAGACAAGAGCCCACCACTGGGGAGCCTAGCAGTCCCGTGGGGGAGAGGTCATTGGTGGAATAATCACACAAACAGATATTAAATGGCATATGTGGTGTGTGCCTTGAAGGGGTGGGGGAGCTGTGAGAGAGTAAACCAGGGGCCCCCCAGTCTGGAAGTCAGGGCCGGATGGCGCCTCCGGGGGAATGACGGCATGTGGTGCCCATTGCCCGTGTCACTCTGCTCCTCTTTCAGGTACCTGGAAGGAAACCACCTCACGGCCGTGCCCAGGGAGCTGTCCGCCCTCCGACACCTGACACTTATGTAAGAGCCCGCTTCTTTCCTGAGGGAGCTGAGGAATGCGGGGAGTAGGAGGCCGGCGCTGCAGGCTCCCCTCGTGAGGCAGGGACAGACAGCTGGCAGGGCTGGGCCAGCCTGAGGGCTCAGCCTGCCCCAGTAAGAACCACATGCAGAAATACCCGGCGCCTGGCATTGCCGACCATCGCTTCACCTGCCTCCTCGGCTTGGGGTCCCCGTTAAATTCCTGAGATCCCTCCGTCTCCGGTTTCCCGCCAGCTGTGGCTGCACTTAGATTTGCCCAAAGCATAAATGGGCATTTCTTCTTCCTCCTCCTTTAGTTGCCCGGAAAACGTTCTAAGTAGAAGGTTCTAATTGAGGCTCCTTCGGTGGTAGCTGCTACTGGCTCTCTGTCTGCGGAGACCCAGGAAACCCCTCAGATGAGGAGCGGGCTGCTGGCCATGGGTGTGGCCCGGGGAGCCGGCTGGTCTCCGAGCCCCGTCCCTCCACAGCTTCCCTGCCTCGCCAAGAAGGGGCCTGAAGGGGGCAGGGAGCCCGTCCACAGGGGAAAAGAGAGTTCTTTCAGAAAGAAAGTGTCACCCTTGGGAAATGGGGCACTGAAGAAAGGCGGAAGGAAGCGCCCTGTCCCCTTGTTCAGCCTGGCTTCCCACCTGAGCCCGAAATCAGTCTAAGATGAGGACTTCCCAACCTCGGCACTAGGGACGTTAGCGCCCGGATCATTCCTGCTGGCGGGGCTGTCGTGGTCAGTGTGGGAATTTCAGCAGCATCCCTGCCTCTGGCCACTAGATGCCAACAGCCCTCTCCCCCTTGGAAGTGACACAAATATCTCCAAACATTGTCAGATGCCACGGGGGGGGGGATGTGCCCCCCATTGAGAACCTCGCTCTAGAGACCCTTCCGCCCCAGAGCAGTGGTCCCCAGTGTCAGCTGATCGTCGGCACCGCCTGAGTGGTGTGCTTGCTTTTTCAAATACTGATGCTCAAGCCCACGCTTGACCAATCAGATCAGACGCTGTGGGCATGGACCCCGACCTTAGAGGGTGGAGACACTCCCAGGGGATTCCGACGTGCAGCTGCTGTGGAAACCACTGCCGGGGGATTTGTCCCTGAGGAGAAGCTGGAGGTTGTAGTCGGCAGAGACTAGACCCCCACCCACCTCCTCCCCCAAGAGAGAATCTGATGAGGGGAATAAGTGAGCGCCAAACGAGCGGGAGGGCAGAGGGACAGTGAAAAAAAGAAATAATCAGGGGAAATATGCTAGAATCAGGGAGAGTGTCGTCTTATGTGTTATGGTTGCTGGTAGAATGAAATGAATGGATAGACATGGAATGGAATAGTTGAATAGCTAAGTGGATGGATGGATGGACAACAATTGCTTGAATGATTGAATAAAGAGTGCATAAAATATGAACATTTGGATGACTGGGTGGGTAGGTGAATACATGGTGGGTGATGGGTGGATGGATGGATGGATGGATGGATGGCAGGCATGTGTGGAAGCTGGGAATGGCTCCCTCAGAGACAACTAACAGTAAATATGACCCTTTTGTTTCCCTTTCCCTAGTGACCTGAGCAACAACAGCATTGGCGTGCTGACCAACTACACCTTCAGTAACATGTCGCACCTCTCCACCCTGTGAGTACAGGGCAGGGCTGGGCCATCCTTTCCCCACCCCTCAGGCCAGCCCTGTGCTCCGTGATCCTCAGCCTGTGGCTGCCCTGCCCGGGCCAGGCCCTCACCTCAGAAGGAGAACAGAGCTGCTGCCTGGCCGTTAGACAGGGCCTGGCCCGCAGGCCTTCTGGAGAGGCCTCTATGATTACTTCTGTGCCGTGTGAGGTTCCGTCCAGGGGACGTTTCCCTACACGATTACACTTTGCTCAGGCCCATTCATTTCCCATGAGCTCTGCACACAGAGAACACTCACCATTCTACAGTAGAGGCGGGCGCTGGCAGAGCTTGCTGGGCAGCCAGCCCCCAGGGGACCCAGAAGGAACCGGGCACAGATAGCCAGTGAGCTCGCTGGAGTAGTGGGAGAGGGCCCTCCGTGGTGGGGGGTGACCCTCTGTGGTGGGGGTGACCCTCTGTGGTGGGGGGGTGACCCTCCGTGGTGGGGAGTGACCCTCCGTGGGGGGGATGGCTCTCTCGTTGTTAAGCTGCTCTTGTCAGTACATTCAAATGGGGAAGCTAAGCCCCTGGCTCTGACGGCCCCAGGGTGGGCAGTGCACCTGTGAGCAGCCGAGACGGGAAGACCAACAGCGCACTGTGTCCTTTTCCGCAGGATCCTGAGCTACAACCGGCTGCGCTGCATCCCGGTCCACGCCTTCCACGGGCTGCGGTCCCTGCGCGTGCTGTGAGTACGGGGTGCCCTGCGCCGGGTGACAGGGGCAGTGCTGGGCACTCCTTCCCCGCTCTCCGTGGTCCCAGGCCCCCCACTCCCCCTACCGTGACCTCCCCCCCAGCACCCTCACTTGCTGAATGGGAGGAAGGAGCATTCGCCTTTCCCGGTTCCAGACCACGACCACATGGGGAGCCTTGAGCAAGCCGCCACCTCTGAGTTCCTACCTGTTTACTCGTAACTGGGACCCGTAGCGCCTCCCTGTGGGGTTTAGGAGATGCAGTTACACTCACGTGTGAGGCCTGGGGCCGCGATTTTGAGGATCACTGTTTTGCAGTTGGTCCCTCCGCTTCAGAGGGGCGAGGCCAGCACTGTGACGCTCCACAGGGAAACCCTGCACCCGAGAGCTGGGAGCTCAGGGCCCGGCCCGCAGACAGCTGTCAGTCAGCAACTGGACAGTCTGCTCTTGGGGTCTCTTTTTTACAGAGCAGTGTCAATAAGTTGCCGACATTTAAATATCAGGAGGTTTCTCATACAAACCCTAGGGAAATGGAGAGGCTTGGCCATTCCAGGGCTCACCTCTGCATTCCTGCCTGGCTGCACCCTCCCTCTGTCCCTCTGTCCCTCTGTCCCTCTCCCTCCCCCCTCACCCCTCCTCACCATATGACACCTGCGTGGCTCTGCCCTGCACATAGACAGGGCAGCCCACTGAGGCAGACGGGGCCACCTCTTCCCACGCTCAGCTCTGCCCTGCCCCCACCGCACGTGTTCTCATCCACAAAATCGGACGATGATGCTAGTTGCCTCTCAATCCTTACGAGGATTCGGTCAGATACTGTACAGAAAGCACTAAGCACCGCTCAGGCCCACGGGAAACACCTCATAAATAGTCATTTGTTATTACTGTTCCCACATCAGCACTTGCAAAAGCACCTCCCTGGCACCTCCGCCCGAGGCCTGGTGACCCCTGATTCTGGTGCCTTCCGTCCGGCACAAAGAGGATCCTTTGAATGATGCCCATGAGAGCGGAGGTGCCAGACATTCTGCCCCAAACTTACCAACTTCTTACCCTCTGGCCCTCTGTTACTATAATAGTGGTAATCATGAGGTGCCAGACATTCTGCCCCAAACTTACCAACTTCTGGCCCATTGTTACTATAATAGTGATAATCATTTTATGGGCTTTTCATGGCCATTGCCTCATGTAACCTTTTGCAGCAGTGCATGCGGTTGAGAGGCTTACGCCCATTTTTAAGATGGGGAAACTGAGGCCTGGCCTAAGGTCCAGCAGCCAGAGGGTGGCAGGAACCAGCCTCCTGACTCCGAGCCCTGGGGCCCTTCCCAGCACCCAGGGCCGGTCAGTCAGCAGACAGCACCCAGTCAGCTGGTCCGTTCCAGAGCCTCCAGGCTGATGTGATTTATTGGGGCCCACGAAACACCGGTGTCAGCGACAACTCCGCCACACGTCATCTGCGCTGTTATTAAAAATCAATTTTCTGGGGGCAGAGGAGTGCCCGCGCCGACAGGGCGCCATCTGTTATTGTCACTTATTTATTATCCACCTTCTCTGGGGGTGCGCAGAATGGAAACATCAGCAGAACCATTCCCCTGTTTCCCGTCGAGCACACAGGACGTGGGCTCATCTCGCCAGCCGGGGGCCCCCACCTCCCACCATCCCCCCTCCATCTCAACCTGTTGTCTCCCACCCCAGCCTCCAGCTCTGTGCATGGGTTTGCTGCCAGGGGGTGACCTGCCAATTTTAATGAGATCCCTGTGCACATGTCCATAGTTAGAGCAGTTCTTTTTGGGGCAACTCAACACAGAAAAGGGAGGAAGAGAATGAATGCTTGCCTGTCCATCTGTCCATCCGCCAGGCGGTGGGGTGAATGTCACCCTGTTTTCTCCCTCCTCAGCACACGGCGTGCCCACCCCTGCAGCAGTCAGTTCATCAGGGTGCACTCACACACGCAGCCCGCTGAGCCTGCTTCTTGAGTTAGGGCCACGAGGATTTGAGCGCCGTGATTTTAGAATCGTGGCATCTTGGAAATAAAATGGGGTCTTAGAGACCCTCGTTGCAACCCTCCACCTCAGTGGGGAGCAGTCATCTGCTGCATAAGAGCCAATTCAGGAAAAATAAAAATGTTCACAGGCTACATTTCTTTTACGATATTTGTATCCCTTTTCCCAGTAACTGCACATGGAGGAATTTATGCTGCAGCCTAATCCAACATGAGGGAAAGGCTCTGTGCATTAAGATCCTGGCTGCACTGTTATTTTTAACCTAAATTTTAAATATTACCTACAAGTGCCACCGTGGGGAGACGGGCAAGGAACACATCATGCAGCCAGTCAATGAAGGGCAATTACTGTGAGAAGATGAAAACTCCACGGCGGTGCAGGCGTGGAAAAATAAACCTAATCCGCACATATGTTACAATTATAACTGGTAAACACGGATAGCTCTGAAGGGGGGCTATCGGGGAACGTAGACACTTGAAAAAAATCATGGAGGGCTGTTAGCCTTGACGTTTCTGTAATAAATGAAGGTGACGTTAGAGATGGATGAAGACAGTAACATATCTACAATTGAGAGAGTAGGGACAAAAAGATAGGGGTTTTTTTTTTAAATCAGGAATTGCAATATATGCAACTGCATTTAAGCATTTGTAGATTTTCTCATTTTTCAAGGGATTCGTAATTTTGATTAAAATTCAGAAAAGACCAGTGATCCAGGGATGCTGGCCGTTTGGAGTGGGGCAGAAGGAGCCTCAAGATTCAGCCACAGACAAAGGCCAGAAAGTGTGTGTGTGCGCGCACGTGTGTGTCTGTGTGTGCATGTGTGTGTATACGTGTGTGTGTGTGTGTGTGTGTGTGTGTGTGTGTGTGTGTTGGCAGATGAATATAAATACATTTCAGAGAACATGGCAGAAGGTTGGTCCAGGAGCCCTGAGTACAAAACATTGTGTGAAAACATGCTTGTACTACTTCACTCCTCATCTGAAGAAAGTCAGATGAGAACATTCTCGTGAACATCCACGCTCTTCTCCGGGGATCTCTGTGTTCCCTGGCCTGTGCCCCACACCAAGCCACATGCCTTGCGTGCGTGTGGTCCCTGCAGTCACTCCCAGCCCCCGCTGGCCTCAGGAGCCACCTGGATTCGGTTAGCACAGGCGGCTAATTTGGCGTGTGTGTGAGGGGGGCGTGGATTATCATCCATCATCCTCAGTATTTTTAGCTCCTAGGACAATCCCTGAAGTGGGATGGAGTTTGCTGTTTACGCACAGGGGGCTGTTCATCATGCCCCATGCTGGCATAGACCGTCCCTACAGCATGCCTGCCCAGGGCTCCATGTGCCCTTGGCTTGGTTACCTTCAGAGACCAAGAGCTCACTCCCTTCTCAGACAACCTCATTTCGATTTTTTACAGGAAATATTTTTTATTTAGTGTTGACAGTATCACAGATGTCCCCCCGCCCTCCCTCTTTGCCTCCCTCCATCCAGCCCCCGAGCCCCATTTCGTTTTTGACCAGCTATTGAACATCAGCTAATTCTGGTGAACCAAAGGGGGACTCCTTTGGACCTCCAAACCATGGTCCTGTCGTGGCCCTTTGGTGCATAAAAGGAGACTTTAGAGATGCAGGCAGCTGAAAACTTCAGCAGCAGGTGCTGGGCTGTATCAGCTAATTCTGGTGAACCAAAGGGGGACTCCTTTGGACCTCCACACCTCCTGGCGTGGCCCTTTGGTGCAGAAAAGGAGACTTTAGAGATGCAGGTAACTGAAAACTTCAGCAGCAGGTGCTGGGCTGGAGGAGGGTGCTCAGACGTGCAGGAGCCGCTCTTTGGGAGCCAAACCAGGAGCGGGAACCTGCGGGAGGCAGGGGTCCTCAGCCGTGTTGTCCTGGTAAATCCCAGCCCCTTGCTCAGGAGTCTATGGGGAGCTCAGCGGCTCCGTTCATAATAAATGGGAGCGCGACTTGCAGGAGTCCCTGCGCCAGCGCTGCCTTTGGGTCATTTGCTGTTTTTAAATCAGGGCTCCGTGCCTCTCCAGGAGCCCAGGCCTCATTCAGAAATGATTAACGGCGGGCTGGGGGGCCTTCGCCAACCAGCAGGCAGCCATGAGGTGATCCCAGCTAATGGCAGGCAGGGGCCGTGTGATTCATAAATAACCACATGCAGTGGAGGTGGACAGAGACTGACGAAAGTGCTAGGAAGTGCTTCCAGCACCTTCTTACCCGGGAGCAACGGGAGGTGAGGAGCCACCTGCGCACTCTGCCCTGCGTCCTGGGAGGGGAGGCGGGCGCTTAGGGTGATGGATGACACCCTACACCAGCTCAGCGTGGTTAGGAGCGTCACCCGGAAGCCTGTTAGAAACACAGCCTCTTGGCCCCACCCCACCCCCCTGAGCCAGCCTCTGGGGACAGAGCAGAGCCTGCTTGCAATTAGCTCCCTGCCCCGGGTTTGAGAGCCTCTGTTCTGTATTAAGGATGATTGAGCTCATGTCTGTCTCCTGCCAAAGCCCGGAGCAGGCTCACAGCAGCTACAAGGGAAACAAAAGAGCAGATTCCCGAGTGTCGTCCTGACACACCCCTTCGTTTCACTGCGGCTCCCTTCATAGCACAGGGGTCTGTGCCCAGCGTCCCTAACGCCGCCTCTGAGAGTCTGTGCATCTCACAGGCCAGGCCCTAAGGGAGCCATCAGCTGGGGGATTGGGGTGTGCAGCTGATGGCTGATCCTTCAGTGGAGGGTGTAATCCGTGGGTTGTGGATTTGCTCGCATTGTGACTTGAGCAGCGAAGCACAGTTCATTCCGTTTTCTCCCTGGACCTATTCTCCAGGCATTTACTTGAAGCTCAGTATACGCACTGCTCTGCAGGTGGGAATAGCTCCTGCTACCTCCACAGGGTGGAGGGAGGCTGCCTGGCCCCTTGGACATGCTGTTAGGCAATGCACCAGGCCCACCCGGTCCCATTAAGGCAGTGGTTCTCAACCTGTGGGTCGAGACCCCTTTGGGGGTCAAACGACCCTTTCACAGGGGTCGCCTTAGACCATTGGAAAACACATATATAATTACATATTGTTTTTGTGATTAATCACTATGCTTTAATTATGTTCAATTTGTAACAATGAAATTGGGAGTCACCACAACATGAGGAACTGTATTAAAGGGTCGCGGCATTAGGAAGGTTGAGAACCAATACATTAAGGCGAGTGTGAGGCTCCCAGGCAACTTCCACAGTGTCTTCTGTCACCTGAGCTGGGACGATAGCATTTCTCACTCCCCATAAATCTCCCAAAGTGACTAAAAAGGGAACCAGTTTCTTGATCGGAACCAGACATTCTTCAAAACCCTGTCACAAGTACCAGTAGAGGCTCATCATTTAGAACTTAGGAAATGACGGTTCTGTATGGATTAATGCACCCACCACCCGCTTCTGGGGCAAATCTGTTTACTTCCACTCCCAGTTTACAACAGGACACTGAGGCCCAGAGAGGGTGATAACTCTGCCCACCGTCACACAGCTGGCACGTGGCAGAATCAGGGTGTGAATGGAAGCAACCTGGATGCAGAACTTATGGTCTCAGCCATGGTTCTTCGCATCACCTCTGAAACTCCAGGCCTCCATTAGGGAGATAGCTCTCCATTTTGGAGGGGTGCAAAAATGGAGGCCCAAGATGTAAAGTAACTTACCCAACATTCCACAGCGAAAAGGGACTGGTCCCATCCCAGGCCCATGCCGTACAGCAGTCCGTCCTCTCCTTCCCAAACCCTCTACTCCCGAGTCCCTGCTGCTGAGTGGGGCATGGGGACATCCACGCACAGGCCACAAAGGACGCGGTGCCTCCTGCTGCTGGCAGTGGGGCCCCCAGTGAAACGGAGGGGCCTGGGCCAGCCTGGGACAGCATGAGGGCCCCGAGTCAGGTCTGCTCTGGGCGCTAACCTCCTGCCTGTGCTCTGCTGCAGAACCCTGCACGGCAACGACATCTCCAGCGTCCCCGAAGGCTCCTTCAACGACCTGCTGTCCCTGTCCCATCTGTAAGTAGCCCCGGCTCTCTCCCCAGCATGTGCCCACTCAAACAGAACATCGCCTAGTGCCACGGCCCATGGCGGCCACGGTTAATGTACATGGGCGGCTGCAAGAGGGAAATGAAGACCCGAACAAGCCATGGGGCCCAAAGCTGACACACCTTTCCACACAAAGAACGATAAATTGTGGGGCTACGGCAGGACAGGGGCTTGGGGTAGGGCCATACACTGGGGGACAGGGACTAGGAAATATGTGGGGAAACTGACGGAAGAGCAGGGTTACTGTAGTGGGTCTGCACGTTCAGAGACTCCCAGTCCCTGGTGATAAGAGTTCTCCTGGTGCAGGGAGGGCACCTTTCTCGGGAAAGTGACCCGCTTGTAGGCAGAAAGGGGGAAGTCAGAGCCCTCCCTGCATCTGCCAGTTCGCAAGCACCTTCAGCTCAAAATACTCAACGTCCCAAACTGGCATGTTGAGGGTGTGTGTTCCGAGCGCCCTCGGTGTGGCTGGGCATCAAACCTCCTCCGCAGAGAGCGCCCTCCGGTGGACCGGGCGGTGGGCAGGGGAGCTTCCAGGCGGCTCCGGGATTGAGGTAGTTGAGGTCGAGCGGAGGATTGTCTTACTGGGGTGGGCGAGAATAAAGCCTCAGAGGCGGAGGGCTTGGCTGGGGTTGAAACATCTCCAGGGGTGGGAGGGACAGTCTGGAGTCCACTGGTGCTCATGCCAGACATGCCCAGTCTAGCCAGAGCCCGAAGACTCTGCTCTCCCAGAGGGCCAAGGGTATGGAGCCTGGGGCCCAGCTGGGTGGGGGGACCCTGACTTCCTGCTCTGCCCCCAGGGCGCTGGGCACCAACCCGCTGCACTGTGACTGCAGCCTGCGCTGGCTGTCGGAGTGGGTGAAGGCGGGGTACAAGGAGCCCGGCATCGCCCGCTGCAGTAGCCCCGAGCCCATGGCCGACAGACTCCTGCTCACCACCCCCACCCACCGATTCCAGTGCAAAGGTAGGTGCTGATGCCTCCCCTCCCGCCAGCCCTCCACTCTCTGGGCTCGGCTCTGCCTCCAGCAGCCTGTCTGAGCTGACCCTGAGCAGGTGGGACGCCTGGTGCCACCGCCCTGTCTGCCATGGGTCACAGGCGCAGAGGCTGATAGGGACGTGGACCCGCCTCTCAGGCTCCGTTGTCATGCTCTCCCCAAGGCCCGCCCTGACTTTTCTCCCTGCCTGCCTTCTCTCCATCCTCCGCGTCGCTGAGAAATTCTTCAGCCTGTATCTGCTGTCCAGCATTCCTAAAGCACATGCATTTCCCCAGCAATTTGTGACTTAGACTGACTGCATCATCATGATAACAAACTACTGCTGGGTCTTATTATGAGGGAGGCATTATGTTAGGTACTTTCTCTTTATTTTCTTTCCATCACCATTTATCCCCACTATTAAGCACTTTTTCACATGTTGTTTCATTTCATTTTCACTTTCTATGTATTAATGTATTTACTTTCTCAGAACCTTTGTGGGGTGCACACTAGAATCACCCTCATTTAAAAAATGAAAACACCGAACCTGGTCGAGGTGAAACCATTTCTCACGGCCACCGCTGGGAGGGTGCTCGGCCTTGCTGATTTCAGAATGCAGGCTTGGGCCCCGGGCTGTACTGTCAACCAGGCTTCTCACGGGCCCCAGGGGTACTACCCACCCGGGCCTCACTTGGGCCCCAGGGGTAATACTCACCTCACCTCCCCACCAGCTCCTTTTGAACCCGTAGAGCAGTGGTTCTCAACCTTGGCTGCACATTAGAATCACCTGGGAATCTTTTTAAAATCCTGATTTCTGGGCCTCATCCTCCGGAAATTCTGTTTCTTTGTTACTAATGTTGTGGCCCCACCCCATCACAAAGAAACAGAATTTCCGGAGGATGAGGCCCAGAAATCAGGATTTTAAAAAGATTCCCAGGTGATTCTAATGTGCAGCCAAGGTTGAGAACCACTGCCGTAGAGTATTTCCAGTTTCATCCTCACTGTTGCTGCATTAAGTTCTTGCTCTTTTTAAAAGTGGGTCCTCAGATAAGGTTCTGAGGCAGGAATTACTGAGCCAGGTGCATGCTGATGTTTAAAACCTTCACACTTGTCGCCACACTGGTTTCCAAAAAGGGCTGTAAGCCGCTGACTCCCCAGTGGCACCATGTGAGTGCACTTTTCACTTTCTGGCTTTATTTTATCTCATTTTGTAATCATTGCTAATTCAATAGCTAAAATATCATATCTCTTTATTTTTTTTTTGTCTCTGATTACTGGAGAAACTGATTTTTTTCAAAAATTTACTTCCCACATGTGTTACACTTGTCCGTTAACGTCCTTGCTCACCTCGTAGAGCCGTACTGTTTTTCGCCTGTTTGGTTGGTTTTTTACCGGGTACTTTAACCACCCTCTACACGTGTCCTCGGGACACCGTCTCCCTGGGGCAGTCTCTGTCCTAATGGAAACCCAGGGCCAAGCCCCTGGTGTGGCTCTCACTCAGGCCATCTGGTCACCAACCCGCAACGGCCCCTCTCCCACCGGCTCAGACTTAACCCGGTCTCCAAATGGATGGCCGTTATCTTGGGTTCACTTAAAGTCCTAACATGAAGTAGGGCCTGTTCATCCGGGGCTACTGTCCGAGCTGGCGACATCCCAGCTCTGCAGGGACCGCGTCTCTCCCTGCAGCCCTCACAGCTGGAGAGCAGGACGCGGTGACAGCGTCGTGGGTGCAGAGTCCCGAGCCTGGCCGCCCTTGTCAGCACCATGGCTGTGTCCTCACCACTGTGTCTTCCTCCTCCCGCCGTGACGGGCTCTGCTTCCTTGGCCCCACCCTGTGTCCTCCATAGCCAGGCACTGACCACGCCGTGGGGGTTGTGGGTGGGGGATGCATTTGGGGCGGAGGAGGGAGGTTCCAAAGGAGCCTGGGCCCAGAGCATCTGGAACAAAAAAAAAAAGATACTCATGGGTTTTCTAATTACAGTGCATTGTTTGCAGATTAGCACCCAAATAGGATCAGGCTAATTACAGTAATTGGTGTGATTGCAGTGGTGCTTCTGAATGCTGTCCCATTGTGACCTCCCCTCCCTGGACAGTGGCTGGATTGATGGGACTCTGGCTGGGCGGATGTGCGGGCTGGGATGGGTGGGAGGGGCTGCCACTGGCTGAGGAAGGGGCCAGAGCCCAGGGGAAGGGAGGTGTAACGGAGCCCTCTCAGGGGCCACCACCAACCGCCTGCGGTTCTGCTGTCCAGGGCCAGTGGACATCAGCATTGTGGCCAAGTGCAACGCCTGCCTCTCCAGCCCGTGCAGGAACAACGGGACGTGCAGCCAGGACCCCGTGGAGCTGTACCGCTGCGCCTGCCCCTACGGCTACAAGGTAAGCAGCACGCCCGCCCCGCCGGCCTCGGCCGCAGGAGGGCCTGTGCCTCCAGGGCAGCCAGGGTGATTCTGTGTCACAGGCCACCCCAAAGCGGCATTTGCTGCTAACACGCCTGTTCTGCTGGTCGGGCTGCCCAGTTTCATCACGCTCATGCCAACCACCGGGACCCCCTGGTGTCCACAGCAACTGAGACGAGGAGGAAGTGTGACACTGCCTTAGTTAGACGGGGCGAGGCATCCCTAAACCCACTCCCCTGGCTTCCCTTCCACGGGGATTTCCAGACCCCACCCCAGGGTGGGGGTGAGGGGGAGAGATCAACCAACCTCTGAGTATGCATGCATATAAGCATAAGCGATGGATGTGGACAACAGGGAATGAGGGTGAGGGCAGGATTGGGGGGATGAGGGGACATTGGGGGGATAAGGACACATTTGTAGTATCTTAATCAATAAAGGGATAAAATTTTTTAAAAAAAGGCCTAGGGCCACCACGCCACCCACTGACAGGCTCAGGGCAGCCAGCAAGGACGAGAAATAAAATGCATATTCCGGCTGATCCTTTTTCAGCCAGGGAGCTTCATGCACAGGTGTTCCCTGTTTCCGAACAGTGCTTCTCACTCTCGTGGGCGCAGGAGTCACCCGGGGAGCTGACCAACGTGCAGGCCCTGACTCGTCAGACCTGGGCTCAGGCCCATGGCTGCTGCTGGTCTGGGGACCATGCTTTGAGTAGCAAGGTCTCGGGGCAGCCTTCCTGGCCCCGTCACAGGAAGAGGTTTCCGTAGGGGTGGCTGTTCCCACTCTCCTTCAGAGGAAACCATGGGCCCTGGCCATGTCCTTCACAGGCACACACTCGGGTGGGGGCGGGGAGACAAGGAGCATCACAGAGCTGGTGGATTTGAGCAAAACGAGGCTGAAGAAAGTTGAGTCGGGCTCATTAGCCAAGCACCGACAACGGTGGTTATTCCTCAAGGTCGCGTATGACAGAAACCAAGCCTGCAGGCTGAGTTGCTGTGTTGTCAGTGTTAGCTCTGCCTCCTGGGTTCCTGCGCTCAGCATAAGGGGCTGGAGGAGACACCCGCCCCACAAGCCCCAGCGAGGGTTCCAAAAGTCCCCAGAGCAGAGAGGCTGGTCCAGGCAAGGGCTAGGGGGGTCCCACCTTGCCCACCTTGACGTGCTCAGGTTTTCCTGCCCTGCCCTTCATGGCTCATTTGTTCAACACACACACACACATTTCTGAACAATCAGCACCTGAAAAGTCCTTCTCCTCATCATCAGAATGGCTATTTACGGAGCTGCCAGGCCTCGCCAGGTGCCTCGCATGTAGGTGGTTGCTAATCACCGGCCACTCTGTAGGTAGGTATCCCTGTCATAGACGGTGAGAACAAGGCCCAGGCAGGCCTCTCCCTCGAGGCACGTGGCAGCCGGAGCGGGTGTGCACCCAGCTCTGCCTCACTCGGCAGCCGTGTCTGAGGGACGAGTGGCCGGCACAGGGGCAAAAGTGGGGTCGTCACAGTCGTACCAGCCCCATACAGTTGCTGTGAACATCATATGCGATGGTGAATATAGAGCACTTAGCACGAGGCCTGGAGTGGAAACATGCTCCCTGAACCCGTGTGGAAATGGGGATTGCCACACTGACCCCTGAAAATGCTCCTATGTGCTGTGATTTAGGATAAACCAGATCCCACGACACCTGCATTCGCCACCCCTCCCGGAAACCCCTGACTGGCCCTTTAAACATGCAGGGCAGGAAGGGAAGCAGGCAGCCTGGGGCTGCTGGGACAGCCTGAGGCTCCGGCTGCTGGGACAGTGGAGGCCGGAGACCCACCTCAGTCCTGCGCTTGGCTGGCAGCGGCGGCCAGGCAGGAAGCCCAGGCCACTCTTTTAGGCCCTGGTGGCAGCAGCGAGGGGAGAGGATTTTCAGGCAGATGGTGAGCAGGTGGTGTGGCAGTGGGAGGGCTCTGTGGTCACCCCTGCCTGGCATGGTGCCCACAGCCCAGGAACCAACACAGCGGGCACCTCCCCAGGCCCCATAGGCCCTCCGAGGGACTGTTTGCCAAGACTGGGGTGTCGCACTGGCCCATGGGTCCCAGGGGAGAAGCTGGAGCCAGGGGGCCAAGCTGCGGGCCGCCCGCTTAGCCCCTTCCTCATGCCTGCGACCCACTGTCCCTTCTGCGGCCAGGTGGCTCCTTCTCAGCTCAAACGTCCCCTCCAGAGGTGCCTGTGCCAAAGGACCCCTCCCCCCCGAACTCAGTCACAGGGTCTCAGGCTGCACATGAGAATCACCCGCAGAACTTTTGTAAATACCAGCACCTGGGCCCACGTCGAGGCCAATCAGAGATGAATCTCGGGGGTTGTCACTTAACAGGGACAAGGTCTGTTGGCCACGCCCTCCTTGTGGACTATATTCAAGCCTCAGTGAGGCTAATAATAATATCACCTACTAGGATATATAGAATGCCTACTGTGTGCTAGATGTGTTATGCAATGTTAAGTACTTTCTTATAAGAAAGGTCTGGTTTAAGTCTCATAGCAACTGGATGAGCTAGGCTTACAGAGGTTAAGAGGCTTCTACAAGGTCAAGGTCAGCCAACCAAGAAGAGACGAAGCTGCAATGTGAATCCAGGTTGTTCTGTATCCAAAGCCCATGCTCTTGCCCTGGGGTTTAGAATAGGAGAGAGAGAACCGTGTGAATTCTGGGGACCCAGACTCCTGAATCCTCCACATGCCTCCCCTTCTCACTAGGGAGCCCCCAGCAGCAGGGGCTCCCTGCAGCCTTCTCTGATCACACTGCAGGCCCCATCCCAGAGGATGCTGGGAACTCCCAGGGGTCTCCTGGGTCACGGCAGCCCCTGAGAGCCTCCCTAACTGGGTGCTTCTCCCCCTTCCCCGCAGGGCAAAGACTGCGCCACGCCCATCAACACCTGCGTCCAGAACCCCTGCCAGCATGGCGGCACCTGCCACCTGAGCGAGAGCCACAAGGACGGCTTCAGGTAACAGCTCACCCTCAGCCTGCCCTCCCCCAGGCTCCTGCCGGCTGTGGGGGCAAAGCTGGCACTGAGGGTCCGTGTGCCCACACTGGGCCGAGCCCTTTGTGGGGGTGGTTGCCAGGCTCTTCCTGTGTTACCCTCCGTACAGATCAGGAAATTGAGGCGTTAGAGGGAGGAGGTTGCACGGTTAGTAAGCACTGATACAGGAACTCGAATGCAGCCAGGACTCAGGGGTTTGCAGTTGCTAACTAAGGTCAGAAGGGGGGATGGTGCCTCAAAGAGCCACCCGCCTGGTGATGCCACCACTCTATATTCTGGGACATAAAAATAACATTAATAGTAGGCGCCATTGACTACATGCTCACGTGTGCCAGATACTGGCCAGTCAAGTGTGTTCTAAATCCTCCCAGATACTGGCCCCACTTAACAGATGAGGAAACTGAGGCACGGAGATTGATTTGCTCTGGGGCATGTGTCCTGACTCGTTCCTGAGTCTTCCAGCCCCACCTCTTGTCCCTGCGTTCAGAGCTCAGGAAGAAGGGGGCAGCTGAATGGAATAAGGAGATGTATACAACTAGATATTAGATAAACAAGAACAAAACCCTACAATTCCCAACAGCGGAGGTGGACCCAGAGGGCATTATGCTAACTGAAACAAGTCAGACAGAGGAAGACAAATACCATATGATTTCACTTATATGTGGAATTTTAAAAAATCAAAAATGAACAAACAAAACAAAAACAGGCTCATAGACACAAAGAACAAACCGATGGTGGGGGTGGGGGTGGGGTGGGGTGAAAAAGGTGAGGGGGCACACAGTCAATAACATTCGATGACTTTGCACTGACACGTGGTTACTAGACTTGGTGTGGTGATCACATCATACGATGTATAAATGTTGACTCACTATGTCGTACGCCTGAAACTGATATAACATTGAATGCCCACTACAGTTTTTAAAACAAGGAAGGGATAGAAGCCATGTAAGTTCTTCTCATCCCTGTCCCAGGAGGGGCCCTGCTAGACCCCTGCCAAGCATGGGCCCCTCCTGCTTCCTGCCCTCCCAGATGCCCAGTTTCCCAGCCCAGGGCCCTGGCAGAAGCAGGCGGGAGAACTGGCTCGTTTGCCCCCCACCAGTGAGCGAGTGGGCTGGGCGGTACAGGAGGGGGCGCCCGATGCCAAGCTCTCTGCAGACATCCTAGAGCTCAGGTTGCAAACGATTGATTTTCAAAGGCATTCTGGCCCGGGCTGCTGTGTGGTCCGTGAAGGAAGTCAGGTTCTGGGCTCCAGTTCTCCTCCCCAGGGACCCAGCCCACCCACACATCCACCTGCCAGCCAGCCCCAGCAAACTCTGAGTCTTGAAAAATGAAAGGCAAGGCAGAGTTTGTTTTCCTGCCTGGAGCAGGCCAGACACCCCCACCCTCTCCTGAGAGCAGGGCCGGAGAAGCCACAGAAGTCTCTCAGTGGCATCCGCTGGGCCCCCACCAGGAAACACACCTGGAGGGGGAAAGCCTGGCTCTGCCCACCCAGCGGAGGGAGTGGTATCTCATTGTGACTTTAATTTACATTTCTTTGATGATTAGTGACGTTGAGCTTCTTTTCATATGTCCATTGGCCATCTGTATATCCTCTTTGAAGTATCTATTCAGATCTTTTGTGCATTTTTTCATTGGATTGTTAGTTTGTTTTGGTGTTGAGATTTATATGTTCTTAATAAATTTTGGAGATTAACCCCTTATCAGATGTATCATTGGTGAATATGTTCTCCCATTCGTTGGGTTATCTCTCATTTTGTTGACGGTTTCCTTTGCTGTGCAAAAACTCTGTAGTCTCATTTGTTTTCTTTTGTTTCTCTTGCCCAATAGTTCATTATCTAATCTAATAGTAGACAAACAGAGTAATTGACCATACCTTCGCTACGCCTCCCATTGGCTAATCAGCAAGATATGCAAATTAACTGCCAACAAAGATGGCAGTTAATTTGCATACATAGGCACGAAGCGGAGCAGCGAAGGCGCTGAAGGTGGCTCCGGCCAGAGCGAAGGTCTGGGTCCCGGGTGCCGGAGGAAAACCGGTGCTGGCAGCCAGGGGAAGGGAAGGCCTATTGCACGAATCTTTTCGTGCAACAGGCCTCTAGGTGGTGTATAAGAATGCAACTGATTTCTGGATATTGATTTTGTATCCTCCTGCTTTACTGAATTCATTTATCAGTTCTGGTAGTTTTGGGGGGTAATCTATATACATAGGTTCTACATGACATGATATTATATATATAGAAAACCCCATACATGATATTGTCTATAGAGGCCACTGTATACAACTGTATCAAATATTGACAGTTTTACTTCCTCCTTTCCAATGTGGGTGCCTTTTATTTCTTCTTGTCTGATTGCTGTGCCTAGGGCTTCCAGTACTGTGTTGAATAAGAGTGGTGAACGCAGACATCCCTATCTTGTTCCCCGATCTTAAGAAATGCCTGTAGTTTTTGCCCATTGAGCATGACATTGGCTGTGGGTTTGGTATATATGGCTTTTATTATGTTGACGTATGTTCCTCTATTCCAACTTTGCTGAGGGTTTTTATCATAAATGAGTGATGGATTTTATTGAATGCTTTTTCTGTATCTGTTGATATGATCATGAGTTTTTTAACCTTCAGTTTGTTTATGTGGTATGTCATGTTTATTGTTTTATGGGTATTATACCAACCTTGCATCCCTGGAATAAATTCCCCTTGATCATGTGCATGATCTTTTTAATGTATTGCTGGATTTGGTTTGCTAATATTTTGTTGAGGATTTTAGCATCTATGTTCACCAGGGATATTGGCCTATAATTTTCTTTCTTTGTCGTATCTTTATCTGGTTTTAGAATTAGGAAAATGCTGGCCTCATAAAATGAGCTTAGGAGTCTTTGCTCCTCTTGAATATTTTTTGGAATAGTTTGAGAAGGTGAGGTGTTAGTTCTTATTTGAATGTTTGGTAAAATTCACCTGAAAAGCCATCCTGTCCAGGGCTTTTGTTTGTTGGGAGTTTTTTTATTGCTGCTTCAGTTTCACTAGTTGTAACCTGTCTATTCAGATTCTCTGATTCTTTCCGATTTAGTTTTGGAAGGTTGTATGTTTCTAGGAATTTATCCATTTCTTCCAGATTGTCCAATTTGTTATAATATTTTCTTACAATCCTTTGTGTATCTTTGGTGTCAATTTGTTGCTTCTCTTTACTTCTGATTTTATTTATTTGGGTCCTTTCTCTCTTTTTTTCTTTTTTTTTAAATATATATATAATATATTTTATTGATTTTTTACAGAGAGTAAGGGAGAGGGATAGAGAATGAGAAACATCTATCAGCTGCCTCCTGCACAGCTCCTACTGGGGATGTGTCCGCAACCAAAGTACATGCCCTTGACCAGAATCGAACCTGGGACCTTTCAGTCTGCAGGCCAACGCTCTATCCACTGAGCCAAACCAGTTAGGGCTTTTAAAATATATTTTTATTGATTTCAGAGAGGAAGGGAGAGGGAAAGAGAGATAGAAACATCAATGACGAGAATCATTGATTGGCTGCCTCCTGCACGCCCCCCTACTGGGGACTGAGCCCGCAACACAGGGTGTGTGCCCTTGATTGGAATCAAACCTGGGACCCTTTGGTCCACAGGCCAACGCTCTAGCCCAGGGGTGGGCAAACTTTTTGACTCGAGGGCCACAATGGGTTCTTAAACTGGACCGGAGGGCCAGAACAAAAGCATGGATGGAGTGTTTGTGTGAACTAATATAAATTCAAAGTAAACATCATTACATAAAAGGGTGTGGTCTCTTTTTTTTTTTTAGTTTTATTCATTTCAAACGGGCCGGATCCGGCCCGAGGGCCGTAGTTTGCCCACGGCTGCTCTAGCCACTGAGCCAAACCAGCTAGGGCCTCTCTCTCTTTTCTTGATGAGTCTATTTAAAGGTTTGTTAATCTTGTTTATCTTTTCAAAGAACCAGCTCTTTGCTTCATTGATCTTCTGTATTTTTTTAGACTCTATTTCATTTATTTTTGCTCTGATCTTTATTACTTCCTTCCTTCTACTCACTGTGAACTTTGTTTGTTGTTCTTTTTCAAGTTCCATTAAGTATAAAGTTAGATTGTTTATTGGAGCTTTTTCTTGTAATGCTATGAATGTCCCTCTTAGGACTGCTTTCACTGTATCTCACCGATTTTGGGTTGTTGCATTCTCATTTTCATTTGTTTCCAGGTATCTTTTGATTTCTTCCTTGATCTCATGGTTAACCCAGTAATTGTTTAGTAACATGTTATTTAGCATCCATGTCTTTGAGTGTTTTCCAGTTTTCTTCTTGTGATCGATTTCAAGTTTCATAGCATTATGGTCAGAGAAGATGCTTGATATGATTTCAATCTTCTTAAATTTGTTGAGACTTGTTTTGTGTCCTAACATGTGGTCTATCCTAGAAAACGTTCCATGTGCACTTGAAAAGAATGTATGTTCTACTGCTTTGAGGGGAAATGCTCTGAATATATCAATTAAATCCATCTGATCTAGTGTGTCATTTAAGGCCACTGTTTCCTCGTTGATTTTCTGCCTTGAAACTCCATCCAGAGAGAAACCTGACTAATTATACCCCCCAACTGTCTTCTCTGCCACTCAACCCACCCCACTCCCCTCCTCCCTACCCCACCCATCCCCAAAGTTGCTCCTGCCCGCTGGGCTTTGAGGGGCAGCGATGTGAGATCAACCCAGACGATTGTGAGGACAATGACTGTGAGAACAACGCCACCTGTGTGGATGGGATCAACAACTACGTGTGTGTCTGCCCGCCTAACTACACAGGTAAGGCCCCTGATGCCTGAGTGGGGATTGGTGCATGGGGGGGTGGGGGGGTAGGGACCTCATGCACTGAGCACACCGTTTTCTTAGCTTTTTCCAGGGACTCCTCCTCCTTCCCCCCCATAGACAGAGGCTTGAGCCCCTAAAACCCCACGAGGGGCTTCCCCAAGGCCCCATCTCTTTGTTTGTCCTTCCATCCCCACCAACTACTAGCTCCTTCCCACTCTGGAACAGTTCCCAGGGCCCTCCCAGCTGTCTGCTCATTCAGTTGGTGGCCACCCCTCCCTTGGGAGCCTGGAGAGCAGGGGTGTTCGAGGCTAGCAGAGAGGCCCGCGCCTTGTTGGTGCTGTGTTCAGGTCTAGTCAGCCTTCTCTGGAAATCTACACTTTCCAGACACTGCTAGGGGCCGGGGATGCAAAAGTGAGCAAGACAGAGCTTCTTCTCACAAGAATTCATTATGGAGAGAGAGAGAGAGAGAGAGAGAGAGAGAGAGAGAGAGAGAGAGAGAGAGAGAGAGAGAGAGAGAGAGAGAGAGAGAGAGAGAGAGAGAGAGAGAGAGAGAGAGAGAGAGAGAGAGAGAGAGAGAGAGAATAAGACACAAACTGACACCTCGTGGGGCCACAGAGAAGGAACCTCACCCAGTGGGGAAAAAGCGGGGGCTCCCGCCAGAGGCTATCCCGCGGGATAATTACTGGTACTCTCCCCACCACAACACCCCAATAGCACCTTCATTTCCTATATTAATAGCCCTAGTGAGGATGGTTACATGTACCATGAGTGGTGAAGCCATCCTGGGCATTTATGACCTGTCAGGCACTTCATGGTGCTGTGAACGTCAAAGGGATGTATCCAGAGACCAGGCCTTCAGACGCCTTTCCTAGCGGCTCCCCTTGGTCATCCAAGGGGCTGGCTTGCCTATAGCAGGTGGACTGTGCTCTAAGCCACATCCATCCACCAGGAAGCTGCAAGGCCTCCCTGGAGCTCGCCTGTCGTCTTGCTCATATCTCTGGGTCGTCCTTGCCTGCGTGTTGCAGACCTGGGCCATGGGGGAGGACAGGACCCCTCACTGCCGTGTCCCCGCCACCTGGCACGGTGCCTGCCCTAGAGGAGGCGCTCAATAAACAGCGTGGAGGGAAAAACGAATAAATAAGCGTAGCCCAAGGTTAGGGAGAAACAGCCGAATGGTGGTGCTGTGACCGCCCGGGAGAGATCCGGAATCTCCCGTTGTCACTGGAGAAACCAAGCAGGGCCAGGAGCAAGGACGGCCCGAAGCCCACGCCCCCTGAGGCCTGCGTGCTCTCCCCCCCACAGGTGAGCTGTGCGACGAGGTGATGGACCACTGTGTGCCGGGGCTGAACCTCTGCCAGCACGAGGCCAAGTGCATCTCGCTGGACAAAGGATTCAGGTCAGGCGGACTCCTGGGGTCTGCGGCAGAGGCCCACTCTCCCCTCTCACCATGTCCCCTTCCCGGAGCTGGTGCAGGAGAGACCCACTGAGGAAGCGGAGATCACGGGGACGGGGTCCCCTGCCCTGTGCACAGCCTCACGGTGCCTGCCTCCGTGGCTCCACGAGGCTGGCCCTGATGCCCATGTGCTGGGTCGGGAGGGGAGTGCGCCCGGACTGTCCGCAGCCGCATCGGTGGGGCTGTCCCTGCGGCCGTGGGCGCTGGCAGCGTGGAACAGCCTCGCTCTCTGTGTTCAGGTGCGAGTGTCTCCCCGGCTACAGCGGGAAGCTCTGCGAGGTGGACAACGATGACTGCGCGGCCCACAGGTGCCGCCATGGGGCCCAGTGCGTGGACGCGGTCAATGGCTACACGTGCCTCTGCCCCCAGGGCTTCAGGTATGGCGGAGCCCGAGGAAGGAGCCCGCCTGGGCCAGTGTCGGGCAGGGGCTGGGGGAGGGGGAGGGTCAAGCCCCGGCCCTGGATCTCTGCGGCACCTGTATCCCCGCACTGTCCTCAGCCCCTCCAAGGCCCAGGGCAGAGGCTGTCAGCCCCGTGTGCAGAAGGGGAGAAAAGCCACCCGGGCAGCCACGCGGGGGTTGGACCTGAGGCCCAGCCCATGTCAGGCTCGGGCATGGTCCCATCTAATGGGGGCCTGGGACCTAGAGAAGGAAAGGGACCCGCCCCAGTTAGTGTCAAGCAGGGACCAGGCCCCGTTCCCATCGCGCACCCCTCTCTGCTCGGGCTCTGGTCGAACACCTGTCTCTCCCTCCCCCAGCGGGCTCCTCTGCGAGCACCCCCCGCCCATGGTCCTGCTGCAGACCAGCCCCTGCGACCAGTACGAGTGCCAGAACGGGGCGCAGTGCATCGTGGTGCAGCAGGAGCCCACCTGCCGCTGCCCCCCGGGCTTCGCCGGCCCGCGCTGCGAGAAGCTCATCACCGTCAACTTCGTGGGCAAGGACTCTTACGTGGAACTGGCCTCCGCCAAGGTCCGGCCCCAGGCCAACATCTCCCTGCAGGTGCGCCCTCCCCCACACCCCCACGCCCAGCTCTGCTTGCTCTGAGAACAGCGGGGAGGCCCCAGGTCATGCAGCCCTGCCCCCTGCAGCAGCATCAAGGCCGCACGCAGCTCTGGGGTCTGGGCCAGCTCCTGACCAGCTCCTATGCTCTGGGCAGCCCCACTTCCAGCCTCATTCACTCCTTCCTCTAGGAAATACTCATTCAGCTGTGACACGCCAGGCACTGCGCTGGGCAATGGGCATTCAATAGTGGACAAGACGGGCAAGCCCATTGTCTGAGCAGGATGACAAGGAAAGGGACGGTGACAGCCCTGGTGTTGTGGGAGCACATGGCGGGGCGGGGTCCGGGCCACTGGGAAGAATCCGGGAGGGCTCCCCAGAGGCAGTGATAACGAAGCTGAGATCGGAAGGAGGACTAGGAGTTTGCCTGGAGAAGGGCAGAAAGGTGAGGGGCCGACAGGGCAGGATGAAGAGGGGTGCAGTCTAGTACCTGGACACCCAGATGTCTATCAGCCCACCTGCTGCACAGCCCAGTCCTCCAGGCTGTGTGTGCCGGGCGGTGGGAGCTGCAGACAGAGAACCCCCCTGCAGCGGGCATGACAGAGGGGTGCCCTCTGGAGCCGATGGTTGTCAGCCTGGGCAGCACGTTAGACTCGCCCGAAGTTTCTCAGATGGCCCTTGCAGGGGGCCCCCCCCTCCCCCGGACTCGTGTTAGTGGTTTGGGGTAAAGCGCAGACACTGATGTTTTAAAAACTCCCCAGGTGACTCTCAGCACAGCGCCTGGTCCATAATAAACGGAATCAATAGTGACTGTTAGCATTTAGTTTATAACTATTATCACACTCAGGCCGACCTGGGCCGACAGGGGCGGGGCTGGGTGTGACCATGTACCAGTGGGAGCGCTAGACCAGAGCGCAGGGCTCCTGACGGCCGGGAGGGTGGGTGGGTATGCACGTACCGTGATGGGGGCTCCACGGGTGTGTGATGAACTGAATCAGCGTTTGCTGGGGTGTAAGCACAGGCCTTCCTCTGGGAGTTCACAGTCCAGAGGGGGAGGAAATGAGGACGTGAATGCTGGGGCCGCTCAGAGATGCCACCTGGAAGCCGTCTCCGGGAGGTGGGCCGGGAGGGCAGGCCCGGGGGAGCCTAACCGCATCCCTCTGCCCAGGTGGCCACGGACAAGGACAACGGCATCCTCCTCTACAAGGGAGACAACGACCCCCTGGCGCTGGAGCTGTACCAGGGCCACGTGCGGCTGGTCTACGACAGCCTGAGCTCCCCGCCAACCACCGTGTACAGGTAGGACCCCGGGCCCTCCACCGCGCACCTGCCCGCCTGCGTCCGCCCTGGGAGGCGATGCCAGGGAGACTTCGCTGCCTCTTCTCGCTGCCTCCCCCCAACACACACACACCTTTCCTCCCAGGAGAGGAGGGGCTGGGAGAGAAAGGTGCTGGAGGAAGACGCAGGAGAGGAAGGCCCGGGAGATGGCACCTCATTTCCATAAGATAAATGGCCAGCCAGCTACCGCAGGGGCCCGCGCTCCAACGGGGACAAGGCTGCTTAATAAGATGCCCTTTTCAAAATGTCACCCTAATCTTTTATTAGTTTAAGAAAGAAAACGGGGAGATTAGCATGCAACTCAGGGGGCGGGCGCTTCAGAGCTCCAGGGACAGGCCTGCTCCCAAGGTGACCTTCAGACGGCTCTGAAGGACAGTCGGCCCTGAGCGTCCGTCCTTCCCGGTTGCCCTGGTTTTTACACGATCGGTGCGTCGGCCGTACTGTTGCTGAACACGCTGCTTTACATCAGCTTTAAGTCTGCTCGCTTTTTAAATGTGGCTCCGTCTTCAGTGACATCTGTGAAGTCGCAGGCCTCCTTCGTGCAGGTGCCTGGCCGTGCTCCTCTGCCAGCTGCAGTCGCAGGAGGGGAGGGGGCCCCTGAGGTTCTATTCCAGGCCCGGGGCCAAGACACAGAAGAGCCCACCTGAGCCCAGCCCTGGCCCAGAATGGGGATAAGTCCATCCCCAGACTTGTCAGAGGGGCTTCAGGCATTATTTCCTACCCAGAAGGCCAAGGGGCTAAGCCAGGGGTGGGCAACCTTTTTGACCCGAGGGCCACAATGGGTTCTTAAACTGGACCGGAGGGCCGGAACAAAAGCATGGATGGAGTGTTTGTGTGAACTAATATAAATTCAAAGTAAACATCATTACATAAAAGGGTACAGTCTTTTTTTTTTTTTTAGTTTTATTCATTTCAAACGGGCCGGATCTGGCCCGCGGGCCCGTAGTTTGCCCACGGCTGGGCTAAGCTGACAGACTTGGGGAGCGTGGGCTGGTGTGCAATAGGGAGTGGTGGGGACTGTGGTAGCCTCAAGGGTACCAGCCTTGGGACCGCTGACCTCGGCTCTAGCAGATGCTGCCTTGTTGGGATGCAGATTCTCAAGAGAAGCTAGAAATCCAGGTTTCTGTGTGAGGTCTGTGTTTAAATGCTGGCCGTTTTAAAGCAGCAGGTGAGAGCGCTATCTGGCCTGCCGCACATGCTCCCCGAGTCATGACCACAGCCCCGTCCCTTGCCAAGGTCTCATCTCATTGGTTCCGCACCACAAGCCCAGCGGGCAGCAGCACTCCCGTCTCAGGGATGAGAAACCCGGGCTCAGAGGAAGTCCTTGGCCCAGAGGCACACCAGTCAGTCAGTGGGAGAGATGGGATTCAAACCCAGCTCAGGCTCCCACCCAAGCCTGCCCTCCCCGGTGCTGGGGCACAGAGGGCGAGGCAGAGACAGACAGACAGAGTCCACGGCACCCTGGTCCAGCAGTGGGGGGGTCGGGGGGGGGGGGGAACAGTGTGCAGTGCAGGCTGTTGACTAAAATCCCACCCCTTTCTTCCTGTGACACTGTCGCCACCTCGTGGTCACAACTCAGCACCCAGGTGAGCGAGCCCAGCACCTGAAATGACTATTCGTCCCCCAGTGGCATAGGGTCCTGTGGCTGGGGGCTTGGATGTAAGTCCGGCCTCTACCACTCCCACTTCAAGACATTGGCAGGGTCACCTAAGTCTCTTATTTCTAGAATGGAGACAGCATGGTGCCTCCACGTGGGGAGTGTAGGTCAAGTGCTTAGCATTGAGTAGCATGTGCGGCCCCTGTTAAGGGCTCAACACATGCCCAGCGTTGTTGTTAAAAGCAAAGGCGAACTGGACAGGCCGCTCTGCTCAGCGCCTGTTCTTATGTGTGACCCAGCGGGCCACCCAGCCGGCTCTATACCAGTGGCCCCTCCTGTGGCCTCCACCTCTGGCCCAGCGGATTAGGGGGAAGACTCAGAGCCCTCCCTCCCCAAAACCCTGAGCATCTCTCAGGGGGCTGACTGTGGGGCTCCAACCACAGTGCAGTCCTTTCTTTCGGAGTTCACAGCAGGTGGATTATCGATGGGGTTTCCCCACCCTTCCTCTGCCTTTGCAGCAGAGCCACGCTTCCGCTGATGTTTTACTTCAAAGGCCACGGCTCACGGCTCTGAACAATAAAGCAGAGATGGAGGCAGAGGAGGCAGACTGAGGTGGGACAGAGACGAGCTAGTGCCACTTTACCTCCGAGGTTGTTGTTACTCGTGCCCTAGAAGATAAACATCACACCACAACTCTGTGTGCAACGTTCCTCAGAACGAGGCTGGCCTTGCATCCTCACTGATACCTAAGGGAGAAACAGAGCAAGTGAAGGAGCATGTGTGACACACATCCTGGTCCCCACGGTGTGCAGCAGGCAACAATGGAGGCGTCTGAGGGTGGAGCTGGCTCAGCTCTGTGAAATGCAGGAGAGACTGCAGATACTAGGCTGGGTCTTGTACTGGAAGGAAAAAATGTTATAGAAGGCTTTATAGGGTCCAATGGCAACTTAGAATACAGGCTGATTCGATACACATATGGCATCCATGTGCTACGGAAGAGAACATCCCTGTCCTTAGCCGCACAGGAATGTAACTCATCTTAAAGAGTTCAGAAAAACTGTGTGTGTGTGTGTATTCATGTGTGTGTGTGTATTCATGTGTGTGGAGATGGAGAGAGAGAAAAATGATAAAGCAAACGGGGCTATTTTGCAACATATACTGGTAAGTTTGAAGTTATTTGCAAATAAAATGTAAGTTTAAATTTATTTGCAAATAAAAAGTAAAATGAAGTGCACGTAATGGCAGTCAAGTGCCCGCTGTGGAAGGCACGCGGCCAACCTCTCTCCTCCTCTCCTGCCCAGCGTGGAGACGGTGAACGACGGGCAGTTTCACAGCGTGGAGCTGGTGATGCTGAACCAGACCCTGAACCTGGTGGTGGACAAAGGAGCCCCCAAGAGCCTGGGAAAGCTCCAGAAGCAGCCAGCAGTGGGCATCAACAGCCCCCTCTACCTTGGAGGTAAAGCCCCTCCCCTGCCACCCCCACCACTTCCACCTCTCACCTGCCTTCTGTGCTCAGGCACCTGCACTCGGGCCCTCTGGCTGAGGTTCCCCTGTGCTCATGTAGGCATCCACTGCAAAACCAATCAGGGCAGGCTTCCTGGAGGAAGTGACAACCAAGCTGATCCCTAAAGGGTGAATAGTTAGCCCGGGCATGGGGAGGAGAAGAGGAGAGGAGAGAGCGCAGGGCTCCTTCTGAGAACCACAAGTTGTTGGGGGTGGGGGGTGGGGATGTGGAGAGGAAGGCAGGGTCCAGGCCCTGCAATCCCTGGACTTCAGGTCACGTTCCCTGTGCTCTGCCACCTCGTGGGACACTGCGAGGCTCAGCTGATGTACGTGGAAGAACCTGTTTGAGATTAAGGAGAAGTGCCCCCTCACCCCACCCCAGCAGCCCTGGGCTGGTAATTCTGAAAGGATGGTGTGCAAAACAGTCACCAGAACTGCTTGTTCAACACAGAGGGCCCCCAGGGAGCCCCGCTGTGGAGGCTGGAGTGGTCCAGGGAGAGCCCAGGTCCAGAGCGTCTCTCCCAGTGAAGATCCCGAAGTTCCACGGATCCAGGCTGCACCCCTCCCCCCGCCCCCGCATCTTCTCTCCCCAGCTCCTGCTCCCCTGCAGTGTCCCGGGGAGGGGGGGCTTTCACACAGCAGAGGCCTGATGGGGACAGCCGGGGAGGTGGGCACCCTGCCTGGGCGTGGTCCTCCATCGGGCCGTGGCCACGTGGCTGTGGCTGGCCACATTTTGTTTCTCTAGAGGAGCCTGAAAATGGACTTTTATGGGATATTTCCTGTATGTAAATAATGGCAACATTTCCCGTTTTTGAGTCACAGTGCAGGACAATGGGCACATGTCCTTGCATGGACAGGATTCCGGGCGTTGGCCCATTCCCTCCATTGGCACAGCAGCGGCCAGGGCTGCGAACGCTTAGCAGGGACATGGGAAGAGCGTGCTCTCGCTCTAAGGGGAGGGCTGGGCAGGGGGGAGGGTCTCAGGCCGCTGTCCTGCCATCGCTCCCACAGGTATCCCGACCTCCACGGGCCTCTCCGCCCTGCGCCAGGGGGCGGACCGGCCGCTGGGCGGCTTCCACGGCTGCATCCACGAGGTGCGCATCAACAACGAGCTGCAGGACTT